ATTCTCATATGGCTGGGCGATAAGCAGAAAGTCACTTTACAGTTTGCAAACTAAGAAATAACCACAATTATTCCTTATTACAATATCCAACATTTAAGACAATCCTATCACAATATAGATATTATATCAATATACTGCTGAGCACTAGATGGTCATGAAATATTGTAAAGATATACATGCGGCCCAGAGGGAGAATCCTTATGTCTGGCACAACCAGGACCTGATTTGGTATTGGTATACTGGATAAACTGCCATTCATTTTGGTACAATCATGTTTATTTCAAAATGAAAAGTAATCCACTGACTTCCTATCATCATTTTGTGGTCAAAAAATATTGTGTCCAATACTTCGGTTTTACTAAACGGATATTCCCACCATCCTCAGTTTTGTGTTAAGTAATGATGATCATGTTAACCGGCTAAACAAACATGGTGAACATGTTACATCAGCAAGCAGGCATTAGCATTCAGCACTGTGAGGAATAACGGCCTCACAGAGCTGCTTTACACTCTAAGTCGTTTGTATTTCATGTCGGAGCCAACTTTACATCATCTTCCTGTTTCTATTCTGCCCTTTCACCCAGGTATCACCACCACCGGCTCCACCCTCAGAGAGTACCGGTACTACGTCTCAGCGTACCGGGTGCAGCACAGTAACGATGGCCAGCAGTGGCTCAGCTACAGGGAAGCAAATTCAACACAAGACAAGGTAATGCAATCACCAAATCAATAAACCCTATTTGCTGAACAATTGCATCATGGGCTTTTAGTGTTTTTTTTTCTTTACTTCAAATTAGTGCAAATGGATAAAAATGTCACTCTAGCTGCAGGGGCACATACTTGGACTGTTTCCATAGCAACTGGTATTGACTACGAGATGTTTATGGCAGGAAATGATAGCCGTCAGTGGTTTGAGTTAAGTGCTGTGGTAGACAAGTCGGGACACTCGGGCATTAATAATGAATGGATATGGATTTAGTGGCGGGTTGTCGGGATGGAGCTGCTCTCTGCTGGGATTCCCAGGCTCTTATTGTGTGGGGGAAGCAGTTATTAGCTTGCCAAGTTGGAAAATAATCAGCTCATGGCTTACAGTGCAGTTGTTCACACAGTCTGAAACAAGGACTTTTTCCCCCTCTTAACTACTACTGGGCTTTAGTTAGGTTTACATGTCTGGCATTAGTAAGAGTATGCTCTCTTTCTCTGGTAGATTTTCCAAGGCAACATCAACTACCTGCATGAGGTGAGGAATAACTTCATTCCTCCAATCGAGGCGCGGTTTGTGAGGATACACCCGACCCTATGGCATCAGAGAATAGCACTCAAGTTGGAGCTGGTTGGCTGCCAAATTCTTGGTTGGTAAAATTGTGGAATAGCAAATAATGAATTTGCATGTTATTGTAAGTTATACATGTTTTTGTTCTATAATATGATTACAAATGTGTCTCACAGCGAAGCCAGTACCAAGGGTGTTTGACCCCTATCGTCATACTCCACCTTCTATGGGTACAAAACGTCCACCTCACTTTGGACACACCACTCACCCCCCCGACATCAGGAACACCACGATGCCTCCTCACACTGGTAAAGGTGTGCTGCATTTCAGTTTGACAAATCATTTGTTTTCATCCTAAATTTGCAGCCCGACGCTAATCGCGGCCTTTTTCCCCCTCAGATGTGGCGCTGGCAGCGGTTCTGGTGCCCGTGTTGTTCATGGTTCTGACCGCGCTCATTCTGACTGTGGTGTGTGCGTGGCACTGCAGGAGCAGGTGTGTATTCTCATTGTCATGTACAAAAAAACAAAAAACTGATGTCTTGTGAAGCCCTCATTGCATTGGTGGAATATGGTGTCAAAACCATATAATGCAAGTCTCCTCCTATTATACTATTTTTCGGCATATATTAAGGACATGTCTTATATAAAAGACATATCTATAAAGAGTTTTGCTCAAAATACCAAAACAGATCACCAATTCTAGCCATGCCTCATACCCCTCTATTTCGGCCCTGTTAGAGAAGTGCTGATTCCGGGTCTGTAGCTTAAAAAAAGAAAGAAAAGAGATTTTTTTTAAAAGATGTGGGTAAGGAAGAAAAGAGAGAGGGTTATTTTTTCCGGACACTTTGTGAGTCTACTGACACACCGGGGACACACATTTATGAAAATACATCAAAAAGTGCATTTTGCATGATAGGAGACCTTTAACACTAAACCCAGGTTCATTTTAGGATTTTTGTACCAATTCAAATTATTATTTTGTTTTAGGAGGGATGTCCCAAACTAATTTCTTTACCACCGATCCAAATCTGATCAATTAATATTTTGTATTACTACCGGTAATATTGATTTTTCAAGCTAATACAGCTGCAAAGGGATTATTTATGATGTTACCATTTTTGTCATGAGGACTATTACACAGAATGAAACATTTCACGAAGAAAGACAGCACGGAAGTGAACATGTTATAGTCTGACTTGACTTTTCTCTCTTCATAGGAAAAAGAGCTCAGACGGAACATATGATCTCCCTCACTGGGACCGCACAGGTATGTAATGTCTGCAGCACAGCTTGAATGTCTCCATGTGTTCGGTGAGAGTGTTCTGCTGTAGCTCACTGTGTCTCTGCTGCAGACTGGTGGAAAAGCATGAAGCAGCTGTTGCCCTCCAAGATGGTGGAGACGGAGGATTCAGTTCGGTACAGTGAGGTGGCCCGGCTGGGGAGAGGGGCCGTACCCAGACTACATGCTGAACCTGCAGGTAAACACTGTGGTGGCTGTTCAAGCAACCAAGAGTCCTTACTAGGTTGCTGCAGTCAGACAGGTTGTGTTCCTTGAGATTTGTTGAGGTTTCAGCTGCTTTTAAAGGCACCCTGTGGAGTTTCAGTTTTCAAAAAACAGCTTCATCCAAGTTCAGTTTATTCTCAAAGAAAAACAATTTCAAACCAGAACAAGAAATCAAAGTTCCTAAGATCAAGTGTAGTTTGCTCCTTCTTGTTTTTTTAATAAATCTGTTAATATAATAGTTTATCCTGGTGTGCGCTGAACTTTGATTTACCCGGCACCAGCTGGCACCCAGGGGAGAAGCACTGCTGAGTGTCTTCAGTTTATTGCAAAACCTTTGTTTTGAATGTTGTGAAATCAGCTTCTTTTTCGCCCCAGCTTGTGGTCTTCTTGTTCTTCTCATCCTTTATTGCAGCAATTCTTTCTTCAACACATCATTACAGTCACAATTGGCTGTATACAGAGTTGTGTGAAAACAAGGAATGACATACAACTGTTTCATTAGTTTGCTAGGCACTTACTGCCTTTGTAATTTCAAAATTGTATATTTCCACATCAATGTTATGGCAGCAACTCTTCTCCATTATGCTGCTTAATCTCCACTAGACATGCAGGCATTACTATTTACTGATCAGATGTTTACAGAAAGGGTCAGATTTCTATCCAAAAAAAGCTAGCTTTGGCATAAATAAACACAGGCCTTTTGAATGTTTAATGAATAAAAACCTGAGCATGTATACCGGATAGCATCTGTGACACAGACAACACGGGGACCCGCTTATCAAAACATTGCATTCCGGTGCAATAATGGCAAACATCTTAACAAGGAGCCTTTTTAATGATCAAATTGTGCTTTTGGGGTCTTATTTGGAATTGTTATGTACATTATTGACTGTTAAGTAACCTATAAACTGTTATATAATTAGGGTAACAGATGACTAATGATAAAAGTATAAACTTAATTAATACTTTATGAAATGCTCTCTTTTCAGATTACGCTGAGCCCCTGGTGAGTGGCGTCACAACGTTAGGGGCCCGGTCCACCTTCAAACCAGACGAGGGTCCCGACCCAGGATACACGGACCCCGACCTGTACGACGCTCCCATCTCGCAGGACGTGTATCACGCCTACGCAGAACCCTTACCAGCCACGGGATCAGAATACGCCACGCCCATCGTGGTGGATATGGGCTGCCACCCATCAGGGGGCTCCACTCTGAACCAGCCCTCCACGGTGTGTAGCTTCATGGGTGCCGGGCCCCCCTCCCTGCTCACTCGGACAGACAGCGGCCGCTCAGGGAGGACGGCCTACGATACGCCAAAGAATGCCACTGGACAGGCCACGCCCCCTGAGGATCAGACCTATCAGGTGCCTCAGAGGAACACTCAGAAGCCCAAAGGAAAGAGCTGAAGAGTCCGGATGCACATGGCCTTAATCTGCCCCGACACAACCCAGCGGAGGGTTGTGACGGAGGAGGGGGAGTGAATCTGTGAGCCCCGGAGCCCGGCTCCAGTCTTGAATGAACACTACCTTAGCTTTAGATTCATCTGGAGATGTCTGTATTGCCTAAATGTTTCTGCATTGTCACAATCTGCTTGTGTAGTGCCATTACAGTCCTATCACTGAAACCACAAAGATGAATGTGTGTGTGCCAGGTGGAGGGGATGGATAAAGAGGAGGAAGCTGACTACTATTTGATAAAGACTCTGTCCCTGCTCTGTGATCCTTAGTAGTTCCTGCATTCTGTGAAACTGTGATTTCCATTCATCAAACCCAAAGTGTTCTCTTACGGAATTATCTGCATGTTGCATTCAGTTACCCCCCATCCAATTAATTCCTCCTTTTCTAGAGAAGCTCTAGTTTTCCACGGTACGTTTTTGTCTTACTTTGTTTTAAAAAGCATGACTTGAAATTGTGTATAGTTCTAGTAATCCCATTACTGCAAACCTTTTGATTGATTTACTGATATTTATTTTTATTTTACATCCTGCTGATGAGGAGAAACTCTTATTAAAAATTGCCCAACACTACCCTCACTGATTACACATCAAAGAATAATGGTTGCACTGTTGTGAACACCGTACGTTTTTATTTTTGAATGAACCTTGTCAGATGTTAACTTGAAAAGGCTGATCAATCCAGTGATTTTCACAAAGAGGAGATATTTTGTGATATTGAAGACCAAACGTTGCCTTTTTCTGTGTTAATGCAATTCATAACAGAACCACAATTCAGCGCACATTTAGCAAAATAACTATGAAAGCAGTCTTAATGTAGAAAATAACATTTTTAAAGGCCTAGTTAGTTGATGTCCTAGTGAATGGTACAGAGCAAATAGGTAGATGGGTTAATCTGTTACAGCTGATAATTTCCTAGAGTTTCTTGTATTTGTCTTGAACTTTTTAGATTTCATTTGTGCATCGTGGTGATTGTCTCGTGTTGAAATGGGTGTTGCCTTAATAATGCATTTGAGTGTTCCTATCTATGTGCATCAACATCTGTATGTGTGTTGAGCTGTTTCGATACTTCAGTCCTGTGTGTTTTTCTTTTTTGGACTGGTTATCGATGCGGCTTATAGTTGTATCATAGTTTGTGTTCAGTCATTGTCTGTAGCACCAGTTAGACTGCATTCCTCTCCTCTGGTACTAATGTGACCAAACGCTCTGTGGCAGGAGGGCAGATGGAGAAAAATGGAACACGCTGCTTTATAACTTAACAGAATAACAACCTCACCGAAGAAGTTATTCTCACAGCTGTGCCACCAATCCTGCTTTGATTATGCTCAATAACCGAGGCGATCTACATACATTGTTCTGGTGCTCCCTGGTCACAGAGGGGTGTGTTTATGTGGCTCTCACTGATTGTATATAGAGAAATAAAGAGTTTTTAAAGAACATGTTTTATTATTAGCTTTTGTCTACAACAGGAAATATATGCATAACAGTACAAATGGTTCATGTCGGCAAGTGGTAAACACACCTCAAATCTCATCCATCTCAAAGCACTGCTGAGCTTTCACAGAGCGGCTAGCATAGCTTACATTATTATACATTGAAAAAAGGCCATGGTAAGCACTTGCTAACCCTGCTGTGATCAGACAGATATTCTCAAAATGACTCCTTAGCTTAAAAGGGGACATATCATTAAAAAAATATCCTTTTCAGTGTTTATGCTAAAACATTGGAGTGCCCACCAACCCACAAACTGAAATAATACAGCCCATCGTTTTTTTTAAGGCTGCCTAGGTCAATGAAAATGGGAATCAGGACGCCCTACAGATCCTATGTCATGGAATTCTCAATAGAATATACTGACCCAAATCTGAGTATCCGTAGATGACTTCAGAGCTTCCCATATAAATAGAAGAAAACCAGACATTCCCATTCTAAACCAACATATCTGGAGAGCGTTGGGAAAGGGTTGCTTGGCTGTCTTCCTGTTTCTGCTTATTGAACATTTAAACATGTTCAAAATAAACTTAAATTAAAAGTATGAACTTAAAAAATGTCCCCCTCTAAGAATGACATTTACAGGCTTTGTTTTCCAATTGGTGTTCTGCTAATTGTACCTTTTAGTGTAGTGCAGTTTTCCACTTTGCACAGTGACTGATAATAATTCATTCTTGATAAATTAATTATAAGAAATAGATAATTATGTTAATAAATATCAACAGTGCATGAACAAAATGGTGTGTATTAAAGAAATACACGTAAAATCCACATGTAAAGAAAGCTTAACGCCTGTGCTAACACACCTAGCTTTCAGTTGGTTCTTCAAAGCAACTTCACAATAAAAGCCAAACACATGCAGGCCATTAGATGAAGGGGGAAGTCATTTCCCAAATGCCGAACTTGATTCATCGTTGGTTTTTCAACATATGTACCTTTTAACCTTTCCCCTTAACCTTCATTTGCTTGCATCAATGTTCTTTCATTCACAAAGCAGCACGACAATTATGACTTTCAAGCTGCTGGAACGTTTTTCACACCTCAGCATCCCAGAGCACGTCTTCTTCCTTCATTCCTCCATGTTTTGCCCATTCTTCCCAAACTTAAACCAGAACACCGTGAGGAGGATGGCTATCAGCTGGATCAGGCAGCTGGTGACGAGGTAAGCAATGGGCAGGAAGTGGTTCTGACCTCCAAACCAGGTCAGCGTGGTCAACACTACTTCCTTTCTGCCTCGGAAGTACTGCACAGGGAAGTCTGGAAAGCCAGAGGTCAAGGCTGCAAATAGGTGATCACAAAGAGAAGCTCAATGGAAAAAGCTAGGCTATAGTTCTAAAGTAGTCCTTGTCTATGTGCTTGTTTAACTGCAGATAAGACAAAGGAAACAATGCACACAATAGGACATTTAAACCTCCCATAAAAACACATTTCTGATTGCAGTGAAAGGATACTGTAAGATATTTCGACGCTGTAATTCCCTGCAGGCAGACCGTTAACAAAAGGCTTGTTGGCTCGGTGTAAAACCCCGTAGAGCTTCTTGAAGTTGGGGAAGGCTGCCTCTCTCATCCACACGATCAGGTCATCGTTGATGAAGCCGTTGTTGTTCTTGTCGAGGGGATCCAGATCATACACGGGCTTCTGCCAGTACAGAGGCGGTGCTGTACCTGCGTAGTAATCACTAATCAGACACGATGATTTGATACCAATTCTGTGTTCGACCCAAGGTTACATCTTTCATTTACCTTCAAACACTTGAGGCAGTGTCATGTTTTCAGTCGACGGGTTGCGATACTTGATATTTTTGTCCGTGTACCAGGAGATGCCTTTGCGTAACAGAGGGACATGCACTGATCCGCTGGAGGCCATGTAGCTCAGAGTGAAGGAGTCTGGGAGGACAGAGGAGAGGTAAGAGAGTGGAGGATGGATGTGATCGATGGTTTAGGTAGGAGTGGTGCTTACCATTGAAGATACTGTTGGCCACAGCACCACAGGGGGCGATGGGGACTCCATTTTTGTTTTTGTCAAACGGCATGCAGTATGAACTCGGGCTCTAGTAGTTAGGATAAAAAGGTTACTAAAATTAGCATCAAGCTTAGGTGTACATTTAATCAAATTACGTATTTCAGTTATAAGTTAACTTGGGTATTTTTTTAAACGTGCATATTATTTTAGATTATGTTATATTCCATAACTATTTATTCTACTACATTTATACTACAGCTGGTATTACTGATTACTTTGCAGGATTATGTTTCACATCTTATTATTTTTACATAATAAGATTTTTTATAAAGTTGCTAAAATGTCCACCAACTTCTCCACGATAATGCTACTTACAGAGCACTTAGTCATAATTCAACCATAATAATTGAAAACTGAGGGGGCATTCTGCTGCATAAATACTAATAAACATACACAAAAAACACTCTTAATATTGCTTAGTCAATTATCTAAAACCGTGTCCACAAATGTACCAAAAGGCCAACAAACTAATAAACAAACAATGTTATTGTGATAAGTATAAAACTATTGTGGAGCTACCTTTAAATTGTTCTTCCTGCCAACCATCTGAGCGTCATCTCTGGAGTCCATGTATCTGCGGAGGTTCTGATGGAAGTTTATGAGGCCGTAGTAGAAAAAGACGTCTCCCTGGAGCAGCAGGATTCACATCATCAGCTTATGTTTACTTGTAAGTCTGAATACTGTCATTGACTGACTTTAAGATTTACAGCGTGGACAAGAAATCAAAGCCCTGGAACTGGAGCATGTTGGGTATAGAGTGTGAAAACTATGTTGTCAAACTTCGTGGTTGTTACCTTGAATGCTTTCTTGATGTTAAACACAGCGGTGCAGATGCAGGGTTGGGCTGCGTTGCTCACATTTTTACGCTTTTCAAAACATAAATTACACGTGCCGGCCTCTGTGTAGTCCAGCTGGAAAGACGGGAGAGAGATAATTGTTCAAATGAATAGTGAATAAACGGTTCCTGTTTACACGACTCAAAACCTAACCTTGGACCTTTCCTATCTTTGTCACTCCCTTTTTTTATTGCACAAGGGCATTGGGTCTCTTCGTCTCTTATTCCCTCCAACACACATATGCTATTTACATCGTACTACAAGTATTTCCTCTTATTTAATATTTCCTTATATGTAAAACTACTAAATGGGCAAGTGACATTTGCAGAAACACCCTCACTCACCTTGAGTTCCTCTGTGCTCTGTACTGTGAGAAGCAGCCATACTCCTAGCAGCATGCATATCAAAGCCATAAAGTAGAAGAAAGGCAGCACAGTGTTAGCCGTTAGCATGGGAGACCAGGCAGGTAACCTCTGCTGTTTGAACGCTGAGTTGTCCGGCCTCCGAGCCAGAGGCCCAGGCTTCACTTTGCCCATGAGAGGGACCTTTGGATGCGGACAGAAGAGGAAGTTGGAGATCCAAAAAGTTAGTCAGAGAAGGCGCTGCTCTGTCTTCTCTTCCTGTTCCTTTCTTCAGCGATATCTCTCTGCACACACTACACTCTGCTTGCCAAGAGAGATTTACCCAGCAGGCTTTGCCGGGGCGGAGGAGACCGTTGTGGCCTGTAACTTATTAACCACAATCTAACTGCCTCTTCCTGTTTACTGTGAGGTAGTGTTTTGTGCTTCCTACTGTAGAAACAACAGGTTCCTATTCACATACAAGTGACTCAGATGTGTATTTGATCTAATATGCTGGCAGAGGTACATGTTGGTTCTGGACCCCCCCCCTTTGTGCTGCTTTAAAATGCTTTATCAAAAGGATGTTATGGTAAATGGGACATCCTAGTGAGCAAGTTAACTCATGACCTCACATTCTCAGTAGGAGGGACTTCCCAAGGTCAGACTAAACAAACAAAAGGATGCTGGTTTCATTCTCAGTTTGTTTATTCAATCCATCACACTGGGATGTCGTGTTGGACAACAACAGTGAACAAACAACAGCACACATTTGAAAATGGCCTCTGGAAATATAAAAAAGGCACGGCGCAGATTTCACAGAGACACAAAAGGGAATACAAACAGGATGAGGCCCCTCGGCACATAGTGATCAGACTTCAGTGTGGGGCTTTAAAACATGAAGGTGTCTCTGGAATCTCAGCGCACAGCAAAGTGTGCGGGCAGTTAAAATAGTCCAATCTTGACTTTGCCTTCTTTACATCCATTCAGGATACCGCTCTCCAGCAGCTTCATAAAGTCCAGTTTGACCTGAAATAGACATGTACGTATGATGTTAAAACAAAAAGGTATAGACAAGATGAAAGAAATCCCAAATACTGTATGTTAGGACAGATTTATGTTTTATTCCTAATAAAAAATGACAAAATAAAAATGGCTTCTTTATAGGGAAAGTTCAAGAATATATGAATAGCTAAATGATGTTCAATCATGTTAGTTTTGCAAGTCACCTGGTCTACATGAGTAAAGAGACTGTTCTCACAGTGCATGTTGCTATCAAATTAAACTCAGTGATGGAAGAACTACTCAGAGCACTGCATTTAACACCTTACGTAAGTACACATACATAAGAAACTAATGATCCTTTAGCCCAGCAGGGGGCAGTAGCTTACCTCAGGTACATCCACCATCCTCCTGAGCTTCTGGTCCCTCCAGTTCCAGTCCAGAACCACGTACTTCAACGCCTTCAAGCTCAAACCATCTGGAACAAATACAAGAGTTTCCATAAAAAACCTTCAACAACCTTGAGGACTTATTTTTAAATCAAGACATTTTCACACCTACCTTTCTCAATGAGAGCACTGATCCTGCCAGGTGTCCCCACTCCCACGTGTGTGATGCCCTTTTGCAGCAGCTTCACCTGCTCCTCTATCTGCACAGACAAAACACAGACATTAAGAGAATATTGTTCGGGGTAAAAACGTACCACTGTTTACAAAAACATGCATCAAAATGAACCGTCTTCTCTAGTACCTTGATATGTTTCGCAAAAAGTTTTACTGCTTTGGCTTCACCTTTGAAGGCTGTCATCTGCCTGGAAAAAAACATAAAAAGAATCGTGTAAACATAATGAAAAAGGTGTCATGTGAGATATGCTACAAACTCAACAGATGCTTCACTTACTTAAGGAGCTCGATGGCACGGAGAGCCGAACTACAGACGATGAGCAGAACCACTGAACTCTTTTCTTTGTGCTGCTTTTGAATCTTCGACCACTTGGGACAAACTTACAAAAGGAAGGGGATGAGATAAAAGTCAGATGTGTGTTCGGAAGTCAACAGCTACTAGAAGATTTCAGTTTAGCCACCACTTACCCTGTTTCAGAAAAGAGGACAGTGTGTGCGTCAGGTCGTTACAGGACAGGAAGCTGGAGTCTGGAGGATGCAGGATACAGTGACCTCAGTGAATCAATGTTTCTGCAGATATTCACTGAACTATAGAGTTAGAGAGGACTTGATCCGACTCACCCTGCAGTGCGAGCTCCTCCTGCTCGATCACAGAATGCTTGTCGGAGAAGTAAAGCGTGACCATGCTCTGCAGGTCGGCCGGACAGCCGGGTTTTGGCTCCGAAGAGGCCAAGACGTCTGTAATCGTCTTTTTCTGGAAAACAAAATAAAGTCATGTAGAGTAATGTTCACACTTAAAGCCCAGTGTTGTCCCTCCGTGCAGTAGGGTTGCCAGAAACTGACCATGATCAAAATAGATTATTCGGCAGCCCTGGCGAATAATAATCGATTATTCGACCGACCGACCCCCCGCGAGAGAGAAAAACAAAAAACTCAGTCAAAAGGAATTCCGTTGTTTTCTTTACTGGAACATGTTTAACAGTACAAACAAAATAAACGACAAATAAACCAACATCAACATGATGCAGCTCCTTGAACTCTTTTTACCTGCCGCTTTGTTCATCTTTAGTCGCACGTGTGAGGGAGAGGGGGGGTGGGGGCGGGGTCGGNCACTTTTCCACATACTTGGGACCATAATCAATCATCACCGAAATCATAGTACGTCACAGAAAAAGTCCTTACTACACATTATAGATAGGTTGCCTTATACAGTTACGTACTACATAACCACATGTGGTAAAGAGCGATGCGTCATTTCTCACGTCGATGAGAATTTCTTGGAAAGATAATACGTGGATTGGAACCGGTTTTATTATGTGTAGTAATGTAATAACTAGATATATAAGAATTTATTGTTAATGAGTTTCAGTGATTACCAACATATACTTTATTTAGTTCACCTAATATTTCATGTTAGAAAAAGAGTGTCAGACATCACCAGGGAGGCGGTAACCCTGACTATTTGTCTTTGTGAATTTATCCTTCATGGAGTCTGTGGTGACATATTTTGGGAACGTTACAACCATCTCTAATATAACCTTTGGTTCAGACACTAAGTCCAGATTGAGGTTCATAGAGGGGTCATAATATCGGGGAGTCTCGGACCGGTCCTTTCAATATACCTTGTTTTTTAAGGGTAAGACGTAACTTGAACGGTTTGTCCTACTGAAGTACAGTTTCTATTGACTCCCCCTCAGGTCGCTCTCGGTCGTGTTCCCCTGTCCCCGATGTCCCTCGCTCCCCCAGGAGGTAGGTCATCTCTCGAGTGGGAGATAAGATCAAGCCTCCTGCCCCTCCTGCTCTTCCTCTACATCGCGAGGTCCGTTGCGAGAACAGCTGTAGGTTCGAATTTCGCCTGGGTTTCTTTGACTTCAAACGTCGTTGATCTTGCCACTCGCTTATGACTACTAACACGGGTGTCACGCACAGAGGAAGGCTTAACCTATTCCTATCGAACTACAAAACTTCACCCCAACACTACCTGCCCTGAATAGGTTGATATACAAAACATGTTATCTACAGGGGAAGCTAAACTAGTTGACTGTATAAATCGTGCCTTCGATTCGTTACACCGACTCCCCTTCGTCGTTTAGTAATCGGTGGAATTTTTACGAGTGAATTTTTGTATCTTATGTAAGTCTTCTTACGAAATAAAATGACAGTATCAAGCAGAGATGACGTGACAACCCATGACTTTTCCAGGACCTTTACCTAAGTTTCCATGACCAAAATAATTAGTCTTTCTCAGCGGTACCACTGAAAATGTTTTATTTTAACATGGAACAGGAAAATAAGGTCTGACACATGTTATGCCTATCTAAAAAAATCAAATGGGCTTACTAGCTTCTACAGGCTAAAGCAACTAAAATCTCTCACCAGCAAAATACCTCGACAGTTAAATGCCTATTTTACGTTTCATTACTGTACGATACAGTATTTATTATCATTATAGTATTACTATTTCGGCGATTAGCTAAAATATAAATTATATTTGATGCAACTTTAGTTACATTTCCATGACTTTTCCAAAACTTCTGAAAAATATTGTTTTCCATAACTTTTCCAGGGCCTGGGATTTGCATTTTGAATTTCCATGACTTTTCCTGGTTTTTAATGACCGTAAGAACCCTGATTAAATAACCAGTTGCATTCATTTCTTATGGCTCTATCTGCAGCTTTTCCGGAGTCATTTCTTATGATTAAATTTTTCCACAGGCCAACAACAGCTTCAAAAACATATTTCCCTCAAAGAAAAAAACAAACATGCCCTGTTGTCCTGAGAGAAAAAGTGCAGAAGGAAACATCCATTAGACTCGGTGTTCTGCTCTGTGATGCTAGTTCAAGCCAGATACTTGGCATCTCATCTTGGGTGCAAGTTCATCAATGTTTGGGGTCAGGCTCTGAGCTGAGGAAACCCTCAAGTTGAGTGAAGGTGTGCGTGCAATACACCGGAGGGCCAGATCTAATACTAATAAAAAATTATCCTGCGATCCGAAATTAAATCCACCAAGGGCCTGGTTTGGCCCCCAGGCCTTGAGTTTTACACATGTGATTTAGAATAATGGGTTGGAAGAACATTTTCCAATAAGGTGAAAGACTCTTCTTATTGGCAGCTCACACAGGAATAGCAACAACATGATGGTACCTGTTCATTATTTTTCTTCTTCTTGGCTTTGACTGTTCCCTCTGTTACACTCTTCCTCTTCTCTGGTTTGGTCTTTGTGTTCTTTGGGGCTTTTTCTGTTGGCTGTTTCTCTTGTTGTGTCTCCTCCTCTGCCTCGGATGCATCTGGGGAAAAAAAATAAGAAATTACCTCATTACACAACTAGATTTATTGGTCAACTTGCGACTGGGAGAAGTGCAAGATTAGGAAACTATTAGAATGAGTCAACACAGAGCGCATTTCGAGTTAAACAAAATCCGGTATAGCTATTAAACAAACTCCCCATGGTTACAAGCTCATAAAGATTTAGATTCTGTTTTCCAGAGTTTGGCCCCTGGACCAGAGATTTGGCATTTGCACATCATGGTGTCTCATCAAGTGTCGGTGCTCTGCCTCCGGGCCAGCACATTTTGGTGACTACGGAAAAAACTGGTAAACACAGACTTTCCCCAAGATAACAACAACAATGCAGCAGACCTAATTCCAAGCAGGTGGTTATATTTAGCTTCTCTGTTGCTACCACTTCTCTGTGCATACCTCTCGTCTCATGCTATGAGGTCATGCTCAGACCCTCTGGCATATCAGCATGCATGTTCAAAATGGTTTAAAAAACAGATGCCAGAGTACACTCGGCAATAAATCTGTGGATTTCATTAGAGTGCCCCTTCCTGAACGTGCATTTTTTAAATTCCTACTTTCTTTGTAGTTATCCCTGTTGACATCACCTCTATCTCAGCTTGTCAGTGGCAAAAACTTTTAGTGGACGTACTTTGACGGTGTGGCGGAGCTGTGGCCCAGGAGGTAGACTGGTCTTCCACCAATGGGCGGGTGGGTTGTTCAATTCAAAACGTCTGCCATCAACAGAAGGGGAAGTAGTGGAGTACAAATATTTCGTTACTGTACTTATGTACATTTTTCTGGTATCAGTACTTTACTCCACTACTTATTTTTCTGACAACTTTTGACTTCTTACATTTTTAACACAAATGCCTGTACTTTCTACTTCTTACATTTAGTTTTGATCTGTGTTTGGTGGCGTGATCATTATTATTTAGAGTCATTGCGTGCCTATTGATTTGAACATGATCCGTTTATCCATCATTTCCTGTTCTTCTCTAAAGAAGAGCGACCAATGAAAACTTTGTCATTTTGCCGTTGTTCAGCACCAGAACATTCATTAGCTAACAAGGACATTATTGTTCTATTAATATAAAGGGAGGTCAGTTACTCTTTAAAACAGCTGGTAGTCATGGGTACTTTTTACTTAAAGGGGACCTATCATGCAAAATGCACTTTTGTACGTCTTTTATACATGAATGTGTCCCCGGTGTGTCAGGGAACTCACCAATTGTCAGAAAACACAACCCTCTCTCTTTTCCTCCATACCCAAATCTCTAAAAACGGGGCTGCAACGGAGCTGATACAGATTTGAATTTTTCTGACGTCAGAAAAGGGGTGCTCCGCCTATATGGGCAACTCTCCACCTATCAGGGGAATGGGGGGTTGGGCCACGGGCCGCTGAAAAGCGCTGGAGACGCTGTAGTACATATGCCAGGCCTGTAAGTGGCGCTGTAGTCTGCCACAAAAGCAGCGAAGAAGACTTCCCGCGCATGGTTGCATGGTAGGGCTGTACCCGAAAATTCGACTATTCGTTCGTTGGCCAACTATTCGGGTTTCAATTTCATTATTCGGATATTCGTTTTTTTTATTTTTTTCAAAAAAATAAATATTTTTTTCAATCAAGGCGAATTGCCATATTCTTATACTATATATATACTTTTGAATTGCACTGTTAAAAGGCAGAAATATATACAATCTCAGCCTGTGCTCCTGACATCGCGTTCACTCACAGTCACGAACGCAAACGGCACGTTTCACACACCTGAACACAAAATGCCGAAGACTTCAGCTGTGTGGGACCATTTTAAATTGGACGACGGTAAGAAGAAGGCAGTGTGTCAAATATGCGATAAGAAACTGGCCTACCACGGTGGCACAACAACTCTGAAAAGTCACCTGGATGCTGTAAGTAGTAGCCTAGCTTAGCTTAGCTGTTGTCAAGATGCCATGATGAAGCTGCTTTATCCGCTGTTTAAACAGTAACGTTACACATGATAAAAACGAGCACTTACTTTGCTTGGAAAATAGTTGTAAGCAAGCAACCGAATTGTTTTTTTATATTAGTTTTTCAATTTTATCCGAATAGTGAAAATAATAGGAGCAATGTGGGAACATCTGGGGCTAAGGCAATTATTGGCATACAGTATCGTCATTTATTTTTCGTTCTTTTTTCATTTATTTAATACCTGTTTACTTTATCGGCTAACAAGTGTTACACTGTTAGCTACTGTATTACGGGCTATGTTAATTAAAGTACTGTTGTTATAACGAATATGTGTTTTATATTTTCAGTGTAAAACGTTATTAGACGGAATTTGGAACAGATTTGGTTCCC